ATGTATAAGTGGTTCCTATAATAAGTTTAATAACGGAACGCTAACATCGATACCAACGAAGGGTTTATAGAGGAGAACAACATAATTCAAGTTCATAGGTATATTTTGTGTTTTTTAAACATTTAAAACGAAATTTTAATTTATCTTAATTAGATCAATAACACAAAACTACAAGTATGACTTTTAGATAAAAAGCTAATACCATAAAGATTTAAGCTGGACAATAGCTCATTTGGCCGACTAAATTTAAAGTGGTAATAATCTTTACTTATGTATTATATATGTATATATTAATATAAATAATATAATCCCTTATGTTTTATAATAGCCTAAAAACAAGCTATAAGTATAGAAAAAGGAAAAGATAAGTGGATTACGTTACTCACTGCTTTCCAGAGCTGCTAATAAAAACTTGTAAAAATTATTGACATGCAAGACAAAACACAAATATAATGCAACTTGAAACGAAATAAAGAAACACAACGTAATACGTTTGGTATTTATCACAGAATTCGACCAAGTTATTATGATGAAAATCTAGAGTTGTTCACGAATCAAACCCGTGGCGACAATACAGAAAACAAATTGCTAAATCTAATTTAACTAGTTTGATTTACACAACTTCAGAGTGTACAAAAATAAATCTTAATTACTAACAAAATCAAAACTTTTATTTTATAATAATTGTGATTTTAATGCAAACCGCACAGTGCACGACAACGCAGAAATTGTATGGACAAATAGTGTGTGTTTGTGTGATAACGAGTCATTTCCACAGATGGAGGTACTTTGTAGCATGGAGGTAAACTGTCGTGCTTTTTAAGAGGCAAACAAATCAATACCCCAACACTTGTATTAAAGCTTTTTGTAAACTAACCTTCATCGACATCCTATAAAATTAATAAGTTTACCTAAGGCCTTATCTGCCATGGACACACTTTTCCTATGGCGTTAAATCGAATTTAACTAGCTTGATTTACAGAACTTCAGCAGAGTGTACAAATTTTAATCTTAATTAAAAATCAAAACTTTTATTTCAATTGTGATTTTAATGCAAGCTGCACGGTGCGCGACACAACGCAGAAATTGTATGGACAGATTTGTGATAGTGTGCGTTTGCTTGATAACGAGTGATTGCCACAGATGGAGGTACTTTGTAGCGTGAAGGTAAACTCTCGTGCATTTCAAGAGGCAAATTAATTAAATTCCAAACTCTTGTATCAAAGCTTAATAAAAGAAATAACACAATAAAACCCTTTTTTCCCAAATGCATTATTTAACAACTATAAACAATTATACTATATTTCTAAAAGTGTTTAACCATTAGACTGTATTTAGTCTTAGTGAAATATACTTTTCATTTTAACTACACTGTCTTAAACGAGCCTCAACATAGGCAAAGTAGTAGAATTAAAATGATTTTTTTTAAACTTTTATTTTTGCTATAATATTATAATTGTTTAAGCGAAATGTGCACTAAGCGTACATTTTTTTCGAGAAACTAAATATGTGCTGGCTTTTGTGTTAATAGTTGGATTATTCAAATTACTTGGTTTTTTTTATCATAAAAGAAAATCTCACATTTAAAAAAAACTATTCTATTGTTCATTTTAGTCAAGAAAATAAAAAGTAAATTTATATGGATACATATATTTCTATCAACTTACATAAATACTTAATACATTGGTATCTATTGGTAATGTTTGTACAATCTTCAACTACTCAATTTTTAACAGTGAAACTAAATTGCCAAATTTAATAACATGTTGAGTGCGTATAAAAAACACATTGGTTTCACTAAATGTCTTTGTGCAAGTGTATATATGATTGATCAGTTAAACGATAGTAATATTTAAAACATTTTAAGGAAACTAATAAAAATATATTAAATCTGAATTAAATTCCAAGTAAAAAAAATTGCAAATAATAACAAATAGATTCAAAACCTATTTTATAACTGCCAAATAGCCACGTGTGCTTTTGCTTGATGACTTTTGAGAGTATCTTGGCGACCATATGATTTATCACAGACTGAGCATTTGTGTTGTACCCCACCAATATGTATCCGTGCATGTCTCTTGAGATGAGATTGTTGACGAAATGTTTTTTCACAAACAACACATTTATAAGGTTTCTCACCGGTATGTCTTCTTTCGTGAGTTTTGAAGTTAGATTGTATATTAAAACATTTTTTACAGACATCGCATTTATATGGTTTCTAACTGGTATGTATGCGTTCATAAATTATGACTATTATAATATAATATTGACTGAATGCTTTATCACAGAAACGGCATTTAAATGGTCTCTCGCCGGTATGAACGCGTCAATGTCTTCTCAGGCTTGATTTTAATGAAAATAGGCCATCTTTGTTTGGATTATTTCTTTTGATTTTGCAGATACAATGATTGACTTTATTTTTTTGAGGTGTTATCGTGGGGTATATCGTACCCCACCAATATGTATCCGTGCATGTCTCCTGAGATGAGATTGTTGACGAAATGTTTTTTCACAGACATCGCATTTAAACGGTTTTACGCTTGTATGTATGCGTTCATGAGCTTTTAGGTGATGTTCTCTACCAAACGTTTTTTCACAGACATCGCATTTAAACGGTTTCTCGCCGGTATGAATACGTGCATGGTACTTGAGATGAATTTGTTGATTGAATGTTTTTTCACAGACAACGCATTTATATGGTTTCTCACCGGTATGTATCCGTGCATGTCTCTTGAGATGAGATTGTTGACGAAATGTTTTTTCACAGGCACGGCATTTAAATGGTATTTTGTACATATTTTTCTTAGAATTGTTTTTTATAGTTTCAATAAAATTGCAATCTTTGGTTTTTGTATTTTTTGAGGTATCGGTCGCATTACACGAAAAATGAATACTGCAACACGTATGAAACAATACAGATTAATTTAGGACAAATATTGATGTTATGCAGCAAGCATTAATATTACTAATATTAAATGTACAATCCATCATACACGCATCCTTTTTAAGAATTAATTTTATTGATTTTACAAGATATACAAAGATCTTCTATTACTTATCGAGTTGCCTGAACTTATTCTACATAATACAATGTAACGTTCACATTTGTTAGAATATGGACAATAAACATCCGAGTGCCATAAGATTTAAAACTTAAAAAGTGTACTCTATCTAAAGTCTACTTTTACATTGAGTACCTTGAGACTTTTTATGACCGACGTCTTTTAACCTTAAACTTGACAGAAATAATAATAAATTCTCATAAACGACTAAACTATATTTTTGACATGGATATGTCTTTTGGCTTGGGGACATAAAGAAAATCTTTGCGTGCATGCTTGAATGACGCTGAACGCTACCGAGGAAAATGTGTGCGTGTGGCGCGATTAAGCGGATGTTTTGTGAATGAAACAGCTGATAAACAATATTTAATGTCTGGCTAAAAATTAGAGATATGCGATTAGAGATATTATAGATAAGATATAAAATGTACGATATTGTAGATACAAAATGTAGAGATATAATATCAGAAATAAAATATGAGAGATAAGAAACGAGACATATCCATATAATAAATACCTCTTTGAAAAGAAAACAAAATGTAACTAATTAATAATATTTTTATAAAGTTTTAAGTATTTTACTATGAGGACATTACTTAAAGTCTATTTCATTAAAATTTTCCGTTCAACTTTTAATTTTTATTTATGATAATTAAAAATGTATTTAATAAAAATTAAACAAAACCCCATTACTTATTACATTATTTTTTTTTAACTGTTAACATTAAGGTTTATTTTAAAAAATGACACCAGTTCGCGTTTTTTTATATTTTAATGTATGAATGTTTTCTATATATGTATATAAAAAAACCCAGTACTTCTTATGCCAACGCAAACGTACGCTAACATCATGCGATGCTGCAGACGTTGACCGGACATCAAACCCACAAATAAATGTTTTCACAATTTTGTTTTTTTGATACTTTGATTTAACATTATATTGATAAGAGGTAGATGCGGTTTTAAAATAATATATTATTATATGAACAAGTGGTTCCTAATATAAGTTTAATAATAGCGATACACTAACATCAATACCAATGATGGGTTTATGGAGGAAGATAACATAATTACAAACGTTTTAAAGTTTTGCTTAAGAAAAAAAAATGGTATTAAAAATAACCTTACTCATAATTATTGTCGACTTCATTCTTTACCAAACACTCTTCTGTTGTAGAAATTTCATTGTTTAAGAACTGCATATCTAACGGATTAGTTTGAACGACTTCAAACGATTTTTCCAACAACTCTTCTTCTGTTTCATCATTTTCAGGTTTAATTTTCAATATATTAAACCGCTTCAAAACTCTATAATTGACATTTAACATTAGTTGTATTTTTGTGCTATATATGCATAGAGGATTAGTAGGACAACTAAATTCACAATTTTAATTATTTTATTTAGTAACAAATATAGTCTACTAAAGATATAATAAAGATAATTTAGTATACATTCTAAATGCTAAAATTGGAAATATTAAAAATTTAAAAAAAATTAGATAGCCTAATCTATTCATAAAAAATGTCTATTTAACTTAAATGAAATTTTTGATACTAAAAAAACATAAATTTTAATATATAGTTTTTGTCATAAAAAATGACATTTATTCGCATTTTTTTTTTTTTAATAAAAGATTGAAAAATAATTGTAAAAATGTTTTCTATATATTTATATAAATAACTCGGTAAGTATCGTTCAAAACTTACGCTACAAACCCACAAATTAAAAGTTTACAATTTTTTTTTTTTAAATATTTTAATGGATTTTTATATTGATAACAGGTAGATGTAGTTTTAAAACAATCAAACTATTATTAAATGAACAATTGGTTCCTAATATAAGTTTAATGTTAGCGAAACGATTATATTGATACCATCAGGCACAAAATTTAATAGTTTTGTTCAAGATAAAAAAAAAGGTACTAAAAATCGCCTTACTCATAAGTATCATCGACATCATTCTTTACCAAATAATCCTCTTCTATAGATATTTTATTGTTTTTGAACAGCACATCAAACGGTTTTGGTTCAACGGAGTATTCTTCTGCATCGTCATTTTCAGGTTTAATATTCAACATATTATACCGTTTCAAAACTCTGTAATTGACATTGAACTTTAGTTGTATTTCTGTACCACATATGCATAGAGGTTTAAATAGGACTACTAAATTGCAGTTTTAACTATTTTATTAAGTAACAAATAAAGTAATAATAATGATATAGTAAAGAATAATTTAGTTTACATTACTTGTAAAAAACCACTGAGTTTTCAGTAGTATATTTTGTTTTTTTAAACATTTAAATCTTAATTTTAATTTACTCGAATTAGATGAATAACACAAAGCTACAAGCATGGCTTATAGGTAAGAAGCTAACACAATAAAGATCAAAGCTAGACGATTGGCCATTTTGCCGACTAGATTACTTTAAAATGGTGTTGATCCTATATTACTCTACTCAACTCCGGATAACTAATAAGTAACAAGCTACCAAATAAATTATGATTCTTTTTATTCAAAAGCAGTGTTTTAAGTCCGCGGGAGACAGTAAACACGACAATAATGTATATAAATTAGAAATACAAAACAATAGGTAGAATTCGACCAAGTAATTATGATTAAAATTAAACATTTAAAACTAAATTTTAATTTATCTTAATTTGATCAATAACACTAAACTACAAGTAAGACTTGTAGATAAAAAGCTAATACCATAAAGATTTATGCTAGGCGATAGCCTATTTGACCAACTAACTTGATCCTTTAACATGTATTGTTTATACATAACCGAAATAGTATTTACCAAACAATTATTTTAAAAGAGATAATTTACTGAAAATGTTGACGTATTGTTAACAAGTAAAATAATCTCTAACGTTTATATAATATAAACCATAATGCTATAAACATATGACTATACAAAATACTATACACACTAATCATCTATAATAGCTAAAAAAACAAGCTAAGTAAAAAGAGGGTAATAATAAGTGGATTAGGTTACTCAAGGAAAGTTTAAATATCTCTTTACTTTTTTTAACGTTGAAAATAATTATTTAAACAATATTATTAATACTATTTTGTAAATTATTAAGGACATTGATTTAATTTTTTTTTTAAATTACTGAGGACTACAGCATTACAAAAGCTTTTTTGTTTTATTTAGTAAACACAAAATATTAATACAAATAGCCTTACTCATAAGTATTGTCGACTTCATTCTTCACCAAATACTCCTCTGTTGTAGATATTTCATTGTTTTCAAACGGCACATCCAACGGTTTTGGTTCAACGGCTCCAAACGTTGTTTGAAAAAAGTATTTTTCTGTTTCATCAATTTCATCTTTAATTTTCAACATATTATAACGCTTCAAAACTCTATAATTGACATTTAACACAAGTGTTATTTCTGTATCGTATATCCAAATAGGTTAAAAAAGGACAAATACATTGCATAATTTTAACTATTTTATTAAGTAACAAATAAAGTAAGATTAATAACACAAAGCTACAAGCATGACTTGTAGGTAAGAAACTAACACAATAAAGATCAAAGCTAGACGATTGCCCATTTTGCCGACTAGATTAATTAAAAATGGTGTTGATCCCATATCACTCTACTCAACTCCGGGTAATTAATAAGTAATAAGCAACCAATTATAAATTATGATTTTTTTTATTCACAAGCAGTGTTTTAAGTCCACGGGAGACAGTAAACACGGCAATAATGTATATAAATTAGAAATACAAAACAATAGGTACTCACACAACGTAGAACTGCCTTCCAGAGCTGCTAATAAAAACTTCTAAAAAATACTGACATGCAAGACAAAACTCAATTGTAACTTGAAACTAAATAAAGAAACACAACGCAGTACGTTAGGTATTTATCACAGAATTTGACCAAGTAATTATGATTAAAATCTAGATATTCTCACGAAGCGGGGCCGTGACGACAATGCAGAAAACAAATTGTACCTAGGGCGCTCAATCTAATTGTTTCACTAGTTTGATTCCCAGAACTTCAGCAGAGTGTACAAATTTTAATCTTAATTAAAAATCAAAACTTTTATTTCAATTGTGATTTTAATGCAAACTGCACAGTGCACGATACAACGCAGAAATTGTATGGACAGATTTGTGATAGTGTGCGTTTGTTTGATAACGAGTGATTGCCACAGATGGAGGTACTTTGTAGCGTGAAGGTAAACTGTCGTGCATTTTAGGAGGCAAATAAATTAAATTCCAAACTCTTGTATCAAAGCTTATTAAAAGAAATAACACAATAAAACCTTTTTTTTTTCAAATACTTCTATATTTTACGATTTAACAACACTAAACAATTATACTATATTTCTAAAAGTGTTTAACTATTAGACTGTATTAGTCTTAGTGAAATATACTTTTTATTTTAACTACGTTGTCTTAAATGAGCCTCAACAAAGGCGGTGTATTTTAACAACCCGTCAAATTAAATATGTCATAATCAAAGAGGCGGATAGCCGATGTCTTAGACGAACATGTTGAGCCACGTCAAAATGGTGCATGCCCAAACAGAAGTGGCACTTACGAATAGTTCTTCAAACATAGACGATATTTGACGAACTCTTGGAACAGATTGTTTATTATAGTCATATTATTTATCCATTTACATAAATCTTTTAAAATTCCAATATTATAGTAATTATTTGAAATTTTTTTTTTTAAAAATCCAATATCAGTCTCAATATAAAACTAATGTTATTACTCACAAACACGGTATTATGTTTTCTTGGGAACTAATCACACAAATATATTGAACAAAATTACTTTTACTAATTATTTAATAATAAATGTATATATTGAAGTAGGCATATTCTGCTGACTTTCCCGAATGGCATTTATTAATAATGGTCAGGTTGTCGTGGCCGTAGACGTTCGGAGTAATTAAACCCTTTGTAATAATTAAAATAACAACACTTGTGTACGTTAGTCACCGTTTATTCAATTACGCTATAGTATCACACGACAATAATAATACTATTGATGCACGGCGGTCCGGTGACGGCCGTATTTATGTTACCGGCGGCGGTCAACATTGCTGATAAGCTGCGCCGGGGTTTTGCTTAATGGGCAATTAGGGAAGCACGGCCCGGCCGGGTATTGTCATCGCGGTCCGGGTAATAGTCCAGGCCGCGGTGATGGCAATACCCGACCGTGTCATTCTCCCCCCCAATGGCCCATTAAGCATCCCCAAGGCAGCTTACTCAGACGGCTATTGCTGAACGGGCTCGGGTGACGTCAGCGGCGTGTAGTAAAGGTCCTGGAGGAACTCCACATCCGGCAGGTCGTAGTTCTGGGCCCCGAGGATATCGTCCATGAGATCCAACTGCCCGACGGCTAGTTGGAGCGTGTCGTCGGGGTCCACCTCCATTGCCACCTCCCTCGTTCCCGATTCGTCGGCGACATCGAGTGTGAGGTCGATCGTTGCCACTGCCGTGACCGCTGTCGTCGCTGCTGTCGTCGTCGTCGCTGCTGTTGCCGTCATCGCCGCTGTTGCCGCTGTGAACGGAACGCTCCGCGGCTTGCAGTGACGCAGTCGCCGTTCCTCCTCACGTTCCAGCTGCGCATGATACGCATTCCGGGTAACGATTTTTGGAGAGGTACTGGTTCCCGGGGCAGTTAACGGCCTTGTTGTTGAGTGGGGCCTCCGGAAGTAATTATCTTCCGGTGGCGTGGCCACTTTCTTGGGGGGCGGGGCCGAGTGGGTACGGACGGTCTTACCTGTATCGGCTCCCATCCTTCCTCTCGTCCCTACTTGAACCTGGCTAGGCCGTCCCAGCGCTCTCGGCGCCGGTCTTTGGTCTACCTTACCTGGAGCCTCTGCTCTTAGGCGTACTAGGGGGGGCATTCCAGCTGTGCCGGGTGTTGAGCTTGCCTCGCTAGCCCTAAGATCAGCCTTACTATTACCTTTTCTTACCTGTGAGGTCACTCCAGACTTTCCGGGTCGTGACCTCTCCTTTGTCCGGGTGCCCAATAACCATCCTCGATGGTGTAGTTCACGAGCCACCGGATCGTCCCGTATTTCAGAGAGGGTCGCCTTCTTCGCCCACTCCAAGGTTATCACCGGTGGTAGATACGTCTGAGTAGACGTATCGACCATCGGCTTCCTCGGGGGGTTCGGAAGTGACCCCTCCTCGCTCCTTTCGTCAGATCCTCTCATCCGGCGGATGGCCACCTGCAGGCCCGCGATGGCGTCCTGGTGACCCTTTATCCACCCCTCCATCTGGTGGACTACGGATTTGACGGTTGTCGCTGGAGGGCGAAAGCGCTTGCCGCTTCGGCCGCCTTCTTCTCGTACTCGTTTCACTGGGGGTTGCGACATCTGAAATTAGCGTAGGGTAATTGGTCACATAAGCGGGTTTTAGCGCGGAGCAGTGAACTTTTATGACCGGCTTAGTTTCCGTGAAGAAAACACCATTCCCCAAGGAACTTCCCAGTCTCACTGGTCCTATCCACTTAGACGCAAACCCCGCGTGAAATCCCTTTGCTGCGTTTGAGAGTGGGTGACTGCGGTAGTACACCCAATCTCCTATCGAGAACCTGTCTAGGGTTTTCCCTACCTGTTTGTCATTAGGGGTCCCTATCACTACCCTAGCGCGTTTCCTCCTAAGTTCGGCTTCTACGGGTAATTCGATTCTGGATCCTAATAGGATCCAGTCACCCGGCGCTTTGGCTTCCCTTCCTAGAACTAGCTGAGAGGGGGTATAGCCAGTTTTCGAGTTTTTTCGATTCCGTATCGCGAACAGTAAAGAGGGTAAACACGTATCCCATAGACGATGTGGTTTATCGCGTAGTTGAGCTCGCAGACCTTTTTTTAGCTCCTGGTTCCGTCTCTCCACTGGGTTTGCTCGTGGGTGGTAGACCGGAGTGGTCCACCCTTCTGTTCCCCAGTGGTTCAGCGCCTGTTTCATTGCCTTTGACACAAATTGGGGGCCGTTGTCTGATAGTAGTACGCGGGGGAACCCAAAACGTGGAAATACCTCGCGCTCCAACGCGTCTATAATCACCCGAGTTGTTGCGGTTCCAATGGGGAAAGCCTCTACCCATCGGCTAAAGCAATCCGTTACGACGAGTATAAACGTTTTACCCCGAGCTGATCGGGGGTAAGGCCCCATAAGGTCAATGCTCAGGACTTCCCAAGGCTGCCGTGGTACTCGTGTTGATATCGCATCTTCCGGTTTCCTGTTGAGTGGTTTTGTACAAGCACATACTCGACATTCCCGGACGTATTGCAATACCATCTCCCGCATCCCTTTCCAGTAGAAGCGGTTTTGTATGGCCCTCCAGGTTTCTTTCCAACCCGGGTGCGAGGCAGTCTCATGATCGTGATATCTCCATAGTATCCGTTCCTGTTTATTGGCGGGTATTACTATGGCTATGATATCATCGCCCTCATCTCGTGGAGTTATCCGGTACACCAAGTCCTTTTCGAGTCGAAATGGTTGTTCTCTGGTGTCTTGCTTGGTCATCTGTATCAGATTTTGAATGTCTGGGTCATTCCGTTGCCATTCGGTGATCTCCTGCAGTGTAAGGTGATCGGTGAAGTCGTGTCCGGATATCTTGAACAGTTCGTCCTTATGTGTTGCTGGTTTGTCCCCAAGCGGTGGTTCAATGAGGTTGTTTTCAAGTTGTTCCTCGTCCACCGTTGGTCCATCTGCCGGATTTCTTGATAGTGCGTCTGCAGCTTCATTTTGGGTTCCGGGCACATGTTTAATATCGAAAGTGTAAGTTCCAAGGGTAAGTGCCCATCGGGTTAGCTTACTATTATTATCCCGTGCCGTCTGTAACCACTTTAATGCCGCACTATCTGTAAGCAATTCGAATTTCCTGGCTTCCAGATAAGGACGGAACTTATCAACCGCAAAAATGATAGCTAAGCACTCCCTCTCCACTGCTGAGTAACGGGTTTGTGCTGAGTTCAATTTCTTACTCACGTGACTGATGACCCTTTTCTCATGTGGTGGTGTCCCGCGTTGATACAGTATGGCACCAACGCCCACCTCACTTGCATCCGTTTGCAAGCAAAACGGTTTTGAATAGTCCGGAGGGCTGAGTCTTGGTGCTGATACTAATGCTAACTTTACCCGCTCGAATGAGTCCTGTTCCAAATTCGTCCAGTGCCACTTGACCCCTTTGGCTAACAGGTTCGTTAGCGGTGTTGTGAGTTCTGTGTATCGGTTTACAAACTGGCTGTACCATCCGCAAACTCCCAGAAAACGCTGAAGCTCCTTCAGTCGTTTTGGTGTGGGAAAGCGGCTAATGATATCCAATTTTCCGATTTCCGTGTCGATTCCTTGACCATCGATCATATGTCCAAGGAAGTTTATATTTCGCGT